ATCCGTGCCGGTGATGAATTCAGACAAGAGTACCCCTCTTGAACTTTATTACATGTCCTTCAGTCTGTGTGCCGACGAAGATCTTTCCCTTCTAGGGTGACGCTAGGTCCAGTCCGCCCTCGTGTCCTGGTTGAATAACCTTGAAGATCTGCGTAGCGTGGAGTGTCTGTATGGCGCCTTGCGTGTAGGTAATTGTCTTGTAGTCCGGGATTGCCTTCCTGGCAATATATTCCTAAATGGTGATTCCCGTGATGATCTGCGAGGCGTCGTTGATGCCCTTGATGTAGGTAGTCGGCCTGAAGATCCTTTATTAGGCTTTTATTGACGGTCTCTGAAGATAGCGCCATCCTGCGCGCAGGTTGTAGACGACATGTTGCGTTCTGTTGAGAATCTAAGTACTGCGATGTCTCTGCGTTGTAGATGGCCTGTGCGAATGCCTTCGCGCAGGCTCGTTCGTGACGACATGTAGCGTTCTGTTGAGAATCTAAGTACTGAGGCGTCTCTGCGTTGTAGATGGCCTGCGCGATTGCCTTAGCGCAGGCGTGTTGACGGCATGTAGCGTTCTGCTGAGAATCTAAGTACTGCGGCGTCTCTGCATTGTAGATGGCCTGCGCGAAGGCGTGTTGACAGTATGTAGCATTCTGTTCAGAGGCTAAGTACTGCGATGACTCTGCGTTGTAGATGGCCTGCACGAAAGCCTTCGCGCTGGCTCGTCGACGTCTTGTAGAGGTGAGTGCTACTGCGCTGGGGATCTACGTGGAGACCTGCGTGGAAACCTGCGTGCGTGAAGACCTCCTTTTGGTTTCTCTTTTTCTGCTTGGAGATCGGCGTGGAGAAGAGCCCGGTGAACTGCGTCTGTAGGGTGACCTGCGCGGAGACCTGCGCGGAGATGAGCGACCCTTTATTCACGAATGCCTCGGTGAATCCCTCAACGATCTGCGTGATGTCTTGGAGGCTGTGTCCGACGTCCTTCGCGAGTGCCTTCGCGAATGCTGATCATCTGAGTACGCATCTGGGGATAGGCGAATCGTCCTTCGCGAGTGCCTTCTCGAATGCTGATCGTCTGAGTCCGTATCTGGGGATGGATGAGTCGTCCGTCGCGAGTGCCTTCGCGAATGCTGATCATCTGAGTCCGCATCTGGGGATAGGCGAGTCGTCCTTCGCGAGTGCCGTCGCGAATGTTGATCGTCCGAGTCCGCCTCTGGGGATGGGTGAGACGTCCTTCGCGAGTGCCTTCGCGAATGCTGATCGTCCGAGGCCGCATCTGGGGATGGGTGAGTCGTCCTTCGCGCAGGCTGGTTGACCTCTTGAAGCGTAGATCTGTTCTCAGACGTCACGTTGGTGGAGGGCCTCTCCGAAGCGTCGTCTGCGTTGGAACCTTCGCGAAGGCTCGGGTCCTCTCTGCGGGCTGGTTGTTGAACATGCGATGCCCTCTCCAGTGCGCAGCGCCTCTCCATCATCTCTATGATCTGTTGGGAAACTGCTGCATGAAGACCCCCAGGTTGAATGTCTGCGGTGATAGATGAGCTCCCCTCTCTGCGTTGGTAGCGATATGGTCCAGGGATCGCTCATCTGCCGTCAGTGTAGATACCTCGGACTGCATAGACAGCTGCGCTGAAGTCAACGTTGCTGAGACTGGCCTCTGCTTGCGGTGATGTATCTCTGGGATGACGAGCGGTTGCTCATCATAGAGTCCCTGTTCCGCCATCGGGACAATCTCGGCCGAGGAAGTCCTTGTAGTCTGCGCTGACTTCCCCGTAGAGGTGGTCGTCTTCCTCGGGATGTGTAGTCTTCTCTGGGTAGAGGATGGCTTCTTCATCTTAGGCTGCGACGATGGGATGTCCGGAGTAGCAGGCCTCTTCTTGGGGGTGGCAGACAACGTCCCACGCCTGTCCCCCGAGGAATTCTCCGGCGCATCACCAGACGGCAAGGGGGTCGTCTGACATCAGTTGACTCGAGAGGGACTCAGCCGGCGTATCTATGACTGACAAAGCCATCTCGACATGTCTGCAGCACCTCTAAGGACGCAAAGAAATTATTTATTAAATGCAAAATTAGTTAAATGCTGGCAATGAATACAGCGCGCGAGCTGGAAAAACATGTCTTAGTGCAGCTAGGGCACAGTTGATGCGGGTCAGCAGCAGAGAACCGAAGTCTACAACGAAAACAGGTTTCATGAAAATGTAAACAACTGAACAAACACGGACAAACCGTGAATAAACAGTGCTAAATACGACTAAATTTCCAACCATATTGTTGAAGGATACTAACTAAACCTCTATAAAGGTAGAATAGAGGATAATAACTAAGTAATAAAAAGATATAGTGCCGTATAGGAGACACAGGTGCTCTCCCAACCGTCCACTAGGGTGAAGAAGGAGAGAGTGAAGCGTGGGAGAACGGTGGCGCCACGGTTTCCCGCCAAAACGGAAATAGAGACAACTCTGGTGAGTAGTGATTTTACGTTGGTTTATTGAAGGGAGCTTCAATTGGAGATACAAGTGTTCCACTAAGTTCGCAAGAGGAAGGAGACAAGCAATAAGCATGAGTCAGGATAAGGAAAAATAAGAACAATTACCAACTTCCTGAGAGATCCAAACAAATCCAAAACCATAAGAGAACAGTAATATTTTAACCTTTGAAGCCCATGTAACACGATTGCAGTCATCTAAAGATTTACACAGAAGATAGCTTTGCTTAGAATATCTATGATTAGGCATTGATACCAACTTTAACCAATACTGAATACATCTTTTATGACAATCAACAAATAAGAAATATTCTGAAACTTACGCTCTAATTGTTTAACGGATACTAGGGCTTTTGATGCTTTTTGAACAAGAACTTCAATACCCTTTGACCAACATAACCTGTTAGAAAATGTTAACCCAAGATAATTATAATAGGTCGATGTCTTAATAGTTTTATTGCCAAACATCCATTTTTCAGAAAGCCGTAACTTGCCATCATTTCTAAATACTAAAATTTCAGTCTTATCTAAATTGACATCCAAACCCCATTTGATACCTAACTGCTCCAATACATCTATTTTTCTCTTTAGACCAATCACACTATCATCAAACAAACACAGATCATCAGCATAAAATAAAGATAAAATATCACGAAACTCTTGACCAACAAATGTACCTCGGACATTCGATTCCTGTAACATAGTTTCCAACTCAACAACAAAAAGAGAGAACAGCAAAGGACTTAAAATACACCCCTGTTTTACGCCACTTAAAGTATCAAAATAATAAGAAATGGAACTATTTGACAGTTTAACAGCAGATTTAACTTTGGAGTACATGTCCAATAATACTGTAAATATTCTACCATGAATACCTTTATTTAAAACTGAGAACCACAATAATTTGCGATTAATGGAATCAAATGCCTTTCTGAAATCAACGAATAAACAATCAAAATGACCATTAGTTTTCGAGAGATACTTTTGGACCAGACACTGTAAACTGAAAATATTATCAACAGTGCTATATCCAGCACGGAATCCAGCCTGAGACTCAGGAATCTTGTCATACTGATGACAAAAACTTATCAACCTCTTGTTTAATATAAACGTGAATAATTTTCCCATGACATCACTAAGCGTTATCCCTCTATAATTATTAACCTCTGTCTTCTTGCCTTTCTTGTGAAGCGGTAAAACCAGTCCATTAGCCCATTCTATAGGGAAATTACCACTGTTCAAAATATTATTAAACAGTGCATGAAAAAATGGCAATAGTTCAGTTTTACAACATTTTTATCATTTCTGGAGTTACTGCATCAGGACCAGGAGCTTTACCGTCCTTCAGATTGTCAATGGCATCAACACTTTCATTATGCTTGATTTCACAGTTCAGAGTATTATTAATGGTATCATTATTGCATGCACAGCAATTATGTTCATCGTGATTTTCAAGAAATTTACTGGCTTCTCTGACATGGTCTTGATCCGTATTCTCATCACTTATATTCATCACTTTTTTTAAGTAATCGACCCACTGTGTTGCCGATATAGAGTTGATATCAGTTGATTTATCCGTTGTTAGGCGTTTAACTTGGCTCCAAAATGACTTTGAGTTCTTAGAATTAGACGATAACAGGTTCACCATATTTTCCTCATACAACAGTACAACTTGATAGCAATCGATGTCTTTTTATTACGCTAAGCGATTTTTATAAATATATTCCGTACGCATTTGTTTTAAACTTTTTGCGCACCTAACATTTTAAATGCGTAATTGGTACGCAACAATTATTATTCAATGCCTACTTGGAAATTTTCTATGTGTATTTTACCCTCGGATACAGCACAGCTTATCTTACCTCTCACACCCTGTGTTTATATCTTACCTCTCACACACCTGTGTTTTTATCTTACCTCTCACACACCTCTGTTCATATCTTACCTCTCACACACCTGAGTTCATATCTTACCTCTCCTCTCACACACCTGTGTTCATATCTTACCTCTCACACACCTGTGTTCATATCTTACCTCTCACACACCTGTGTTTAAACCTTACCTCACACACACCTCTTCTTACCTTACCTCTCACACACCTGTGCTTATACCTTACCTCTCACACACCTGTGTTTATACCTTACCTCACACACACCTGTGTTTATACCTTACCTCACACACACACCTGTGTTTATATCTTACCTCACACAAACCTGTGCTTATACCTTACCTCTCACACACCTTTGTTTATACCTTACCTCAAACACACCTCTTCTTACCTTACCTCTCACACACCTGTGCTTATACCTTACCTCTCACACACACCTGTGTTTATACCTTACCTCTCACACACCTGTGTTTATACCTTACCTCACACACACATCTTCTTTACCTTACCTCTCACACACATGTGCTTATACCTTACCTCTCACACACCTGTGTTTATACCTTACCTCTCACACACCTGTGTTTATACCTTACCTCTCACACACCTGTGTTCATATCTTACCTCTCACATACCTCTACTTACCTGTGACACTGGTGGGGATTTCTGCAGCGAGGTCATGCACACTACGTGTGAGAGTGAACCACTGCTGGTAGAAGAAATTCACAATCCGGGCCCCGACAGAAGAATGGTGTATGGAAACTGAAATCATGGATACATAGTCATTACATGAAGATCCACAAGAGTCAGTAACAGTTTCCAGTCTCAACATCTCATTAAAATTAAACTTAGTCCTCACAAATACTGAACAACGAGCAGAGGACACCCCATTAATGGTCATTACGTCATGACACCACGTCACGTCAATGACAATTCATCCAACCTATCAGAGTGTCACTTACCAAATATAGACACTGACAGTCAGGATACGTTTACTTATTATATAACCTCAAAAATGTTTACATGGTGTATTCTGAACAATAGTTTTACAACTGATTTCAAAACTTATGTCCCTCGAGAAATACGCCCCCTCTCTGGAATAAAAGATATTATGGCACTAATTTTCGAACTTAATCTTGACTAACATCATGTAACTTCTGAGAATGTTAGTTGTCATTCAGGCACTGTCTACAGCTCTATATATAGGGCGGTGGGGTAGCCTAGTGGTTAAAGCATTCATTTGTCATGCCAAACACACGGGTTCGATTCCTAACATGTGTACAATGAATCCCCTGACCAGTAAACTAGCCATTAAATTTGATGAATATTCACGAACAAAGATGCACTCAACAGCCTAAAGCTATGAACATTGAATTCATAGTTTCGTATTTATTTATCATCACAATGGTAAATATCACTGTAACCTGTCTATGAATAAAGTATAAATCAATTGTGAATGTAATGAGATATACTGATAAATAGTTGTTGTATAAATAAACAGAATAATTACATTAACATTAATTAGAAAAAATCTGGGGAAAAACCCTTAAAATTGGTGATTACAATAAAAATGTAAATATTTCAACTATAATTGATAATCGTTCACCACAAGTCCTCCGATAATCGACAGTGCTTTCCGATTCCCAACACTAGTACTCACTGTTGCCATCATCGATGCGAAGGGTCTGAATGGAGAGGATGGATGTACGACACTGGGGGCACATGCCGTGTGCTCCGCCCCTGCTGTTGGAGTACCACTGGTTGATGCAGAGGTTGCAGAACACGTGGCCGCAGGGGATGCAGGCGGCAGGAGAGTTGAAGGGGTCGAGACATATGGAACAGTTGTTGGGGCTCGAGCTGCTGGATGTCGTCATATCGCATCATGTGGACCTGTCAACACACTGGAGTGAGTGAGTGAGTCGGGTCAGACAAGCATCATGTGGATCTGTCAACACACTGGAGTGAGTCAGGCCAGATGAGCATCATGTGGATCTGTCAACACACTGGAGTGAGTCAGGCCAGACAAGCATCATGTGGATCTGTCAACACACTGGAGTGAGTCAGGCCAGATGATTCGACCTCTCTAACTAATGTCTCACTTGTCTGACTAACAATGTGCTTGTCATCTAATGAGTGAGAGAGTTTAGTTTTACGCCGCACTCAGCAATATTCCAGCTATATGCAGGCAGTCTGTTATTAATCGAGTCTGGACCAGTCAATCCAGTGATCAACAGCATGAGCATCGATCTACGCAATTGGGAACCGATGACATGTGTCAACCAAGTCAGCAAGCCTGACCACCCGATCCCGTTAGTCACCTCTTACAACAAGCATGGGTTACTGAAGACCAATTCTAACCTGGACCTTGGTTGTCATTTAATGTGCATGAGTGCGTGTTTGTGTGCATGACTGTGTGTAGAAGCTGGAAACATGTCAATTCTATATTTCTAGCCCACAAATACACAATGCCTAATTTTAATGACATATACACTTTTCAGACATTGTATCAGACTTCAGTCGCAGGTCGGGTAACAACAAACAGGCATTGGGAAAGGCAGGGGCCATGGGCCATTTTGCACATTAGAATAAAAAATGGCCCATTAAAATTTTGAAGTTTACTATTGATACAAGGGCAGTTGCATGACATCTCCTGTCATGCTGTACCTGGGGACTGGACCCCCAGACTGCAGTCATCTGGACACCCAATCTATCAGAACACACAGGCAATATGTGGTGTTGGGTGACAGCTGTCTCATGGCGCAGTTAGATTGTGATTCAAGCCCTGACCAGACCTATCTTCACCCAATATCGACTCATACCACTCAGCAATATTCAAACAATATGTCAGAGCTACATTCATTAGCATGATGAGAATCAATCCACACACCATGATTTGATGAAAAGTATTCAACTAAGTCACCAAGTCTCAACCTAAATTGGGATTCTGCGTTCAAATTCAAGCAAAATTTGTAACATTTGCAGAACAATTCAAATCAAATGTCCTGTTTCTACATGTTTAAAAACCAAAGGAAATAATGTTCACCTCCAAATAAACACACCAAAAAAAATCCACTTATCATAAATAACAGACAGATTTTGTTAATGACTATTTCCTTGACTGCCTAAGTCTGGCCTAAAGAAGCACCTGTTTCACACAATCACCGATAGTTGTTAATCTGTTTAGTTGAATGCGCTTAGAGAAAGCCTGTGTGGCGTGGAGTTTAGTACCACATTAGTGTCCTTCTTATTACACATATCTGACACCACCATGACCTAAATTTCTTGGATTACCAACACTGTATACAAAGTGCTGGCAAGGACATTATTTTCTTGTCGCTTGAGACACTGACTCCACTATTATGTCCTTGTTTCATTATACCTTGATGAACAGTATTAACTTTCAGTTTCAAGTGTTTTTTATGGGGGTGAAACAAATATAAAATACACAAATTTGTAAACAATGCCCTTTAAACACTTCTTTCATACATTGTTAATTAGACTTATTATTTCTGTCATTCTGGCATGGAGATAATGTATCTGTAAGTGTAGCTGAAGGAGTTGTTGTCGGCACGGGTACTACAGACATGTACCCCAGGTACCCTGGCCATAATGAGAATACAGAAACGTATCCTAGGACAATTCCATTCCCATTGTGTCGTATTCTTGATCAGAACTGTCATACTGTTGCATTAGATACATTTATAAGTAAGTAAGTAATGAAAAAAAAAAAAAAGTAACGGATATTTCGTGCTGATGAATACCACTCGGAATCAGTTGAACGGGAAAAAGTACATGCGGTTTCGATTTTGGATTGCGGAATATGGACTCGTTCGCCTTTTAGGGTACCGGCTACGTTTCTGTAATTTCACTTTGTTTAGGGTACATATCTGTATACAGAAACGTACCTGGGGTACGTATCTGTAGTACCTGTGCTGACAAGGACTCCTTCAGCGTAAGTGTAAGCAACTTAAATAATTAACCCTTTTTTCTTACTTCTTTGTTTTTCACAATGAGATCCAGATTTTATTCAGTAAAATGTGTTTCTCAGTAGCAACGATTCGTCTCCCAACTGTAACCAGGGAACATGTCTATTCGCCGAAATAAACACGTCACAGTAGTTTCAAAGTTACTAAGTTTGGCTCGAGACCACAGGGGCTTGTATTGATGAAAATAATACGTCCTGGGTCCTACAAGCGTACACTGATATCCATATACATATAAAGAATGTTTTGAGATGTACTTCTTTATATGTATATTATATGGATATCAGTGTACGCTTGTAGGACCCAGGACGTATTATTTTCAGCAATACAAGCCCCTGTGCTCGAGACAACATCGATCATCGAAACCACGCTATTCACACCAATTACAAGTTCAGGGCAATATATAAACATCAAAGGCATATTCCAGGAACCAACTATTAATTAAATATTATATAAATTAACCGATATAGCATTGAGGTAAAACCAGAGACCATATACCGATATGGTCTCTGGTAAAACGTAAAAAGCCACATTCTTGGAAAACGAGTATAGCAGCAATAGATAACGCCATATTGTTTTGTTTTTCGGAGAAGTCTGCACCAGTTGTGATATGTTCGAGTCTGACAAATATGAAACACTAAGTGATGATAAGTCATAACATGGGAGTTAGTCACACTTCTAACAAAAAACGCTGTCAAATAATGTCAGGTGACAAATCGATCAACAATTCTTAAAACAAAAACATCAACGATCTCTACCTAAAATGATATTTCAGGGTACATCCAGGGCATTTGAATATGATGAAAACATGGTTCTACTATTTGTTCACTTTCAATGAACCGTTTCTCTCACCGACCTCGAGTTTTTGCGTGGTATGTCAAAACTGCATCAACAAGCTCCAACCTCAGGTCTTGCCGGAAGTCTCGAAATCACGTGACAACAACAAAAATGTACTATTTATAGATGCGTGGGTTTTCCAAATTTCAACTCTCTTCAAAATACGAAATCATCACGGAGATCGAGTCGTGAAGAAGTCCTCGAAGGTCGTCCCGAGGGACCGTTACATGCTTTAACAATTCACCTCCGTAGGTTTTCGTTTATTTTACCTGAAACGATTTGTTAAACCGAGATCAGTAAATATACGATTTCAACGAAAAATATCACGGGTGAAAAAATGTCTGCGCAGCTTCGTATTTCAGTGTTCAGAGACAATATCTATTATATGGTATCTGTCCACACCCGCCATCCTTAAAGCTTCAGACTCTTACTCTTCCAACGATTTATTTTATACTGAAGCTCACATTACCTCCAAAGAAACAGCCCACTAACCACTTAATTACTAGTTATCAGTATTTGCTGCGGAAAATTCGAAATTTGGAATCGGTTTAGCTTTTTGGTTTTGTCTGTCTCTCGAGAAGAGTCAGTCAGCGCCGTTGAACATCCAGGACTATGCAGTCTATATCCGGTTACAGACTTCTAATCAAGTGATTCTGTGACTTGTGTATTTGTGTTAAGCTTCCAGTGGTATGTACCGTAAATCCTTGAATAAACCCCATTCCCCCTCACGTCACTTTAATCTCCCCTGCAAACAGGACGAAGATCAGAACGATGTTCCCTTCTTTCTGTAACCACTTGAACGAAACCATAGATATACACAGCCTTACCTTTCAGGATCCACCGGAGTAACGTCCCTTCCTTTACCCAGATGCCCTGAACGCATGAAAAACAACAACAATTATTAGGGAGGTAACACGTGGGGTAGCCTAATGGTTAAAGCTTCCGCTCGTCACGCCGAAGACCCGGGTTCGATTTCCCACATGGGTACACTGTGTGTGAACCCCATTTCAGGAGCCCCTCGCCGTGATATTGCTGGAATATGCCTAAAAGCGGCGTAAAACCATACTCACTCACTAACTCATTATATATTACTAGGAATTTGTGCAGTTGTCTTAGGCGCTGCATTTCGCTTTGAAGATTATGTTAAATTGATCTTCAGTAACACATGCTTGTCGTAAGAGGCGATTAATGGGATCGGGTGGTCAGACTCGCTGACTTGGTTGACACATGTCGTCGTATCCCAATTGCGTAGATTGATGCTCATGCTGGTCCCGACTTGATTATTTACAGACCGCCGCCATATAGCTGGAATACTGCTGAGTGTTTCGTTAAACTAAACTCACCCACTCACTTTGGGCTTACCTCTCACTTGAGGCTGTGAATACAATTCAAAACGACGTTAAACTCAAGTCACTTTCTCGCTTCTTTCGGTAGGAATTCATTTATGTGGGTGTGTTTAATATCCCCACGTTAATGTTTGAGAGACGTGTTAGCGAGATTAAAAAGAACACAAAATGTGTCTCTCTATTATCAATCTAGTGAGTGAGTGAGTATGGTTTTACGCCGTTTTTAGGAATATTCCAGCAATATCACGGCGGGGACACCAGAAATGGGCTTCACACATTACCCACGTGGGGGAATCGAACCCGGGTCTTCGGCGTGACGAGCGGACGCTTTAACCACTAGGCTATCCTAAAAGCCTCGTTGTCAATCTAACGTTAAACCACGATCGTCTATTAAAGGAATGCGAGTATGGAAGGTTTTACGGTAGGCAGCATCTGGCACTGAGTTGTTAATATACATCTATATGTACATCTACTTGTGATAACAGATTCTTCTTTCTACCAGCTGTTTTCAAATGACTCCATGTACACTTACAGTGACACACTTACAGTGACACACTTACGCTGAACTGATTCGTTGGATGACGCACAGGGGCGTGTCACGCTTAGAAACAACATTAGAAAGACATATAGGTATATAGACCCTACCCTAGTACTATATATAGCACTAGGTAGGGTTTATATACCTATATGTCTTTCTAACGCTGTTTCTGAGCGTGACACGCCCCTGTGGGATGACGAACAGCAGCTCTCCATAAGCTCTGTCCAGAATAACGATCCTCACGTTCCGTCTTAATATCATTTGCTTGGTACAATATAACGAAGAAGACCCTGAAATAAAATTATCCTATCTTAAAATAAATATTTACAAAAATAGTCAAAATGGAACCCATATTTCATGAATTATTATAGAGTTATACTCCTATTTATTTATACTCTTGTGTCTGGGAGGCCGACTAGCGCCCATGCTATGGTATCTCCCGACGTACCCGTACTGTATCTAATAACTGTGGTAGAGAGAAATGTATCGATATTAATCTGATTCTGATCTGCTTGATGTTTATGCTGATTTATGTACGTTGTGACGATGCCGTCTTTGGCGATGACAATAGCTTGACAGTTGTGTCGGCAGCAGTGGCCCCTTAATGACTTGATGTAGTCTGTGTCACAGTTCCTGAACCACATTATTTTCCCTCCCGACCAACTCTTTCTGCCATGCTAAAACCCTAAATATAACAAGTCTAGATTTCCTCAGGTTCTGAATCTCTGGTCTCCCTGGGGCTCCTTTTCAATTTATACTGAACAGCAAAAGTAACGCAAGTCTGTCTTTTTGTCAAGTTTTTTAATAGCAGAAAACCAAAATCATGTCTTGTCATTTATTCTATAGAAAACACTGTCAATTTAACAGTTGAAAGTTGCTGTTGACACTGAATTGCAATAAGTTCAAATTGATCACAGTCCGTCAAATGGAGATACCCCTGAACGTGAAACGTGACAGTATCTTTAGTAGCGCGTATAGTCACCTTGAGCTTGCACACGGGCCGTGCAAAGTGACCTCATTGAGTTCACTAGAGTCTGAAAGACTGCCTGAGGCAACTGGTTCCGCTCAAACACCAATCTGTATTCCACTTGTGCAAGTGTGAGTGGCTGTCTACCTGCCCCAATCCTCCGTCCAATTTCGTCCCAGAATGTTCAAAGGAAGCCATATCCGGATAAGAGACGGCCATGGCAAAATGTTAACGTTGTTCTGAGCCAGATGATCCATCAACACCCTTGCTCTGTGAGGGCTGCTGGCGTTTTTGACGTGTCAAAACTGGCCCCACATATGGTCGTCGGCAGTGGATTCCAGCAGCCCGAAGATGACGCCTAATCGTATCGCTGGACACTGCTCCACTTGACCCAAGACCTAAGGCTGCTGTTTCTGCTTGAGTTCGGTTCTTTAGATGAGTGACCCGGATGAAGTATGAGTTGTCACTTGTTGCCGACCGGTACGGTAACGATCAGCAGCAACCCCGGTTTGCCGATGACGTTGAGCAAGTCGTGAAATGTGGTAAGATGACAGCCCAATTGCCTAGCTACAGCGGTTGCAGAGCTACCTCCGTGCAACTTTCCAATGGCCACATTCCTCTGCTCAGTCGTTAGTCTAGGCATCGTTTGTGTGGCGTGTACACCTCCTAGCGTCAATACTGAACCGTTTTTTTACACAATCCTTTATAAAGAATACCTCAGAGTGAAATGCATGCTTTCCATCCAGAACCGTCGACGCACGTGCTAAAATTATGGTTTTGCTGCACTGTTGGTGTGTTTGTGCGAATGGTTCGTATGGACGTCAAATTGCATGACATCATCTCATCTGGGATCATTACGTCACTTTACCATGAACGTTCCATAAACATAAACGCTTACCTTCATGAAATTTCATTTTTTCGAAACTTGCGTTTCTTTTGCTGTTCAGTATATATGGGTTTGTTTGTTACTATCAAAAGTATATATATTCAGAGACTAAGCGTTAGTTTAGACTTGATGCTGAACCTGTAACCCATGAGAGGCGGTGGGGTAGCCTAGTGGTTAAAGTGTCCGCTTGCCACGCCGAAGACCCGAGTTCGATTCCCCACATGGGTACAATGTGTGAAGCCCATTTCTGGTGTCCCCCGCCGTGATATTGCTAAAAGCGGCGTAAAACCATACTCATTAACTCCCTCAGTTTCCCCTGCTTTTTGAAGAGTATATTCATAGCTATTTGTATACTACGTTCATGCGTTCACTCAACACATTTATCAGTGACATTTCTACTCTCGCTCACTCTGCTTGCCTATCAGGACATCATTTTTTATGAATTTCTGAACAAAATTCTGAACATGGGTCGATCGAGAAAAAATAAAAAATAAAGACAAAATTATCTTAATAATGTTCTTGATTATCATTTATTTTAAATTTTATTACAATTTCTCGCGTTCTTTGGACTTGTGGCAGCGACTGATAACAAGATAAACATTTTATCTGAGGAGGCGGTACGTTTTAGGTTCGAGTTGGCGGTGTTAGAATGAAAAAGAAATTTTTTTTGAGGGGGGTCGGCAATAAAATTAGAAGGGTCGGGCGGGCGTTGAGAAACACAGAAAATAAATACGGTCGGTCCAAATTGGACTATGAGCTGTTCACCCTGCCAGCACAGATAATCTCCATTATCCCAGCAGGGTGCCGGGGAAATGCTGTTTATAGACGACGTACATTTCCGGTGTTTATTCTCCATATTTGTTTAATTTCTAAACGTTATTGTATTTTTTAAACTTTACACTTTTTTTCAATTTATAAAATTCACCATTCAGACATGGTTAATATAGTGATTGAGAGAAGTTTTAGGCCGCTTATAGCACTATTCATGCAGCAGTATCACGGGGGCAGAAAAAAACAGACATCACAATAATGTGGTAAATGTAATTAGGCAAAAAAGTTTTCACCCACCTACATAATACCATCACATCACCATTATCGTTCTCGTCGTCGTCATCATCATCATTACCTGCATATGTATGTATTTTCATTTTCTGCGTGGTTAACAATTATCGCGACGCCTAAGTATTTGAAATTGCTCAGCACAGATATTTAGGAATGGAGGGGCGGGGAGATTTGTTTATGCAAAAGATGAAGCAGCTGAGAAATGGACAATAATTCACCACTGGAAGGCATTGTAATAGATAAATATTATTTCTGTGCCCTTTCCTTGCAGATAAGTACCAGTGTCGGAGAATTCAGTCCGTTATATTTATTTATGTCAGCAAAATAAATACTTTAAATTAGCACAGATTTGTAAACAATGAAATTTTGAATTTCTTATTGTTAAACAAAATTAAAAGTATATCTCAAAACAAAAAAACACATATGCGAAGTCACACCCACATGTGTGTATACACAGCATGCACACAGCTATTTAAGAGGATTATCCTGACATAGGGTACGTTATTTATTTTAAAAAACCCGTGCGCCTTCCCCGTCACCAATGCAGTGATCCGACATGAACGTATTGAGAAATACGGCACTTGATATTTGTTATTTCTCAAATACGCCCAGCCAGTTAATGAAGAAGCTATTAAATCTGAAAATCCAATGTCATTTATTTGTGCAAGTGAAATATTATTCTTACAAAAAATAGTGCTATGCCCCGGGTGAGGCTCGAACTCACAACCTCCGCATTCCTCGTCCCGGTGTAACTCGGGGAAGGTACTGTCTATAAGTACGGCGCGCTAACCGATTGTGCCACCGGGGCTGCACGCAAAATTGAAGTAAAATTACCGTTGACTTCGCCGGGAATGTAGGTCATCTTTGCCACGCAGTTTCGTTTTCAGTTATATTGCCACAGTATTTTAAATTGATGAGTTTGTCTGTAAGAAAGCTTATTTTGTAATAGAAATAGTTCGCCGGCGTGTAAATAGCGCACTTGAAAAGACAGTGACGTCACAATTCGACTAATTATTCTACAATCTCGAATGCGGAAATCAATACGGAGCAACTGCGTTGTTAACAGCTGACATAGGGATTTTAGAGTTACCTCCCTTCCACCTACGGTTTGGTTACTGTGGGGCTCACACTCGGCAAATACCGCTACACTGGGCGCCTTCTTATAATTTAAGTACCTAGGAAATACTATGCAAAAGAATAAGAGTTTTAATTTAAATGAAAAGAATCTAGCTGAGAAGGCAACCAAAGCTGTGTATTTTTTACTTAATTTGTCGTGCGATTGTCAGTTACGATTATTCGATTGTTTGGTTGTCCCTGTCCTTTTGTATGGATGTAAATTATGGGGTTTAACAATTATTGGGTAGAACATATCCGTCTAAAATTTCGAAAGGAACTTCTTAAAAAGCACCCCTTTATTCATGGTTTATTGGGACGTGGGGAGATATCCACTGTAAATAGAAATTTAATCACGAATGTTAGCCTTCTCTATCGGGGAAAACTCATTTCAGGAAAGGCTTCTAAATTTTCTCTCCTAAATGGATTGCCTGTATTAAGGATACTTAAGAAATTGAAATGAATTATGTTAGCGCTACACAGGCATATCCTAATATAAATAATCTTAATTAAAGCCCTTGTTGAAAAAAGATTGAAAAACATTCATACACAGACTTGGATATCAAGCATAAAAAATCTTTAATAACTATATATTTTAAAAAATTCTGGATTGAAACACGTGACCTATCCGAATTTATTAAATTATTATAATCATAGGGCGTTACTCAATTTCAGAACCGCAAAGCGTTTTACCTGCCAGTTGAATGAGGACGACGAACGATGGATATATACACCCCCAAATTTCTCTTTCTGTTTATTTGTCCTACATTGGTCCTAGAAAGGTTTTCATATATCAACAACTATTACTGTAGACCTAAATATGCACAAAATGAACCAGCTTTTTACTGCAATAAACTGAGAATATAAAAGAAATTAGCAATAATTTGCAAAATAGTATTGTCTCTTTTAAGCAACGCCCAAAACTTAAAATAAATAATATATGAGTGTATCAGTGTTCATTTTACTGGATAAATATACACACATACTTTATATTGTGTGTGTCTGCGTTGTGTCTGTGTGTGCTTGCGTTGTCTGTATGTGCTAGCGTGTATGTCCGTGTGTGCTTGTGTTGTCTGTATGTGCTAGTGTGTATGTCTGTGTGTGCTTGCGTTGTCTGTATGTGCTAGTGTGTATGTCTGTGTGTGCTTGTGTTGTCTGTATGTGCTAGCGTGTATGTCTGTGTGTGCTTGCGTTGTCTGTATGTGCTGTATGCGTGTATGTCTGTGTGTGTGCTTGCGTTGTCTGTATGTGCTAGCGTATGTCTGTGTCTTGCGTTGTCTGTATGTGCTAGCGTGTATGTCTGTGTGTTTGCGTTGTGTGTATGTGCTAGCCTGTATGTCCGTGTGTGTGCTTGTGTTGTCTGTATGTGCTAGTAGTGTATGTCTGTGTGTGCTTGCGTTGTCTGTATGTGCTAGCGTGTATGTCTGTGTGTGCTTGCGTTGTCTGTATGTGCTAGCGTGTATGTCTGTGTGCTTAACGTTGTCTGTATGTGCTAGCTGCGTTGTCTGTATGTGCTAGCGTGTATGTCTGTGTGTGTGCTTGCGTTGTCTGTATGTGCTAGCGTGTATGTCTGTGTGTGCTTGTGTTGTCTGTATGTGCTAGCGTGTATGTCTGTGTGTGCTTGCGTTGTCTGTATGTGCTAGCGTGTATGTCTGTGTGTGCTTGCGTTGTCTGTATGTGCTAGCGTGTATGTCTGTGTGCTTGCGTTGCGTATGTGCCAGCGTGTATGTGCTGTGCTTGCGTGTATGTCTGTGTATGTGTGCGTTGTGTGTATGTGCTAGCGTGTATGTCCGTGTGTGTTTGTGTGTGTCTGTATGTGCTAGTGTGTATGTCTGTGTGTGCTTGCGTTGTCTGTATGTGCTAGCGTGTATGTCTGTGTGTGCTTGCGTTGTCTGTATGTGCTAGCGTGTATGTCTGTGTGTGCTTGCGTTGTCTGTATGTGCTAGCGTGTATGTGCTGTGTGTGCTTTGCGTTGTCTGTATGTGCTAGCGTGTATGTCGTGTGTTTGCGTTGTGTAGTATGTGCTAGCCTAGCGTGTATGTCTGTGTGTGCTTGCGTTGTGTGTATGTGCTAGCGTGAATGTCTGTGTGTGCTTGCGTTGTCTGTATGTGCTAGCGTGTATGTCTGTGTTATTGCTTGCGTTGTCTGTATGTGCTAGCGTGTATGTCTGTGTGTGCTTGCGTTGTCTGTATGTGCTAGCGTGTATGTCTGTGTGTGCTTGCGTTGTCTGTATGTGCTAGCGTGTATGTCTGTGTGTGCTTGCGTTGTCTGTATGTGCTAGCGTGTATGTCTGTGTGTGCTTGTGTTGTCTGTATGTGCTAGCGTGTATGTCTGTGTGTGCTTGCGTTGTCTGTATGTGCTAGCGTGTATGTCTGTGTGTGCTTGCGTTGTCTGTATGTGCTAGCGTGTATGTCTGTGTGTGCTTGCGTTGTCTGTATGTGCTAGCGTGTATGTCTGTGTGTGTTTGCGTTGTCTGTATGTGCTAGCGTGTATGTCTGTGTGTGCTTGCGTTGTCTGTATGTGCTAGCGTGTATGTCTGTGTGTGCTTGTGTTGTCTGTATGTGCTAGCGTGTATGTCTGTGTGTGTTTGCGTTGTGACTGTGCGTGCAAGCGTGTATGTCTGTGCGTGTCTGTGCGTGTGTGTGTGAGAGAGAAAGAGAGAGAGACTGTTGTACATGTTGGGAAAATGTGAGTTCTGTATTGCTAGTCCACAAATATACCATGCCACAGTTTTATTCAGATATACTTTTCAGACATTCTGGTCACACAATCTGTCTATCAGACCACAGAGGCCGTATGTGTTGTTGGGTGACAGTCATTTTATGGCGCACCCATATTGTGGTTCAAGCCCTGGCCAGACCTATCCTTACCCAATCTCAACTCATGCCACAAGCTAGAAATACATCCCATTATATCCTCACCTTTTTGAAACTTTACATCAAGTATTTATACAATTTAAGATTTGGGGTTTTGTTTTGTTCTTACCTGTAATTAAACTAGCAACAAACCTAGTTGTGTGCCCCAGTTGCGATTCTGTACCCAACGATCAGCTCAATGGATGCGGTGATCTGCCATACATGGTTGATGAAGTGTCATTATACTCAGCAGGTGTGGGATTTTGTATGTATGCTTGTTGAGCAAAGGGTATTTTTTCAATTAAATTATGTGTCTATAAGGTATTTCAAAAACCTTTCGACAATGTAGTTTTCGGCGAACAATTTTTGTTTTTAACCGTGTGAAAATTGTTCAAGCATCTCTGGGACAATATGTTCCTTTCAATAGCATATTATAGTACGGAGTTTGGGTCCAGAAAATCATTTCGTTGGGTCGAAGAAAATAGAATAACATTGAAAATATGAATATTAGTTTATTTACTTTTTTTAATATGGAACTATTAGGGCAATAGGAATAGGGGAAGAAACGATAATGGTATGGCTGGAGCGTCTGTTTGATGCAATGATAAAGAAGCAAAAATAGAGAAAAACATATAATTATTTCTGGTGTGTGGGATAGACAAACAGTTCGGTTTTTTTAATTCTCATTTAAATTTGTTTGAAACAAACCCACTTTCATGTATAGACTGTACTCGTTATGTCACCATAATCTCGCGTTCAACCCAACCTTCTGATTGTCTCCCTTTACAATGCATGCCCGTTCTAGCTGCCTGTAACGCCTTCTTGTTTATATCCAGTTATTCATTTGGCACTATTGTGGAATATGTACTCATGCTGTCTCCATGGTTATCAGATATAAATACACTCACTACAACAAGACACTATTCGTTCATTCAGTCACTCACTCACTCATAATCCCGATAACCCACCCAGTGGAGCACAACAGTGGTGATCCATGTAGCTCTGGCGTGCTCTGTTATAATGAAAGTAAATGAGATAGTTTTCTTACCATTTTACTTATTTCTGGTCGGCGTAAATTGTAATTTTGCACATTTCAACATGTTTGAGTCGGGGGAATGGTAAACAATGTTTAAAAACGCCTGGTGCTGGTTGAATGGTTGAATTGAATGAATGGGAAAAGAACTGATTCGTTTTGAAAAATCCCTCGGGACATTGTGCGATCTCACTCCAGTAATATCTCATTTGGTGATGTGTTTTCAAAAACTAAACACACGACCATGCACATACAAGCAATCACAATTTGAACCCGTTCTTTTTATAGTGAATGAATAATTCACGAGTATTGCTCTACTTTGTTTTTCAGCAATATTCAAGCAATGTCACGGCTCGCGACATCGGAAATTCAGACATTGTACTGATGAGGAGAATAGAACCCAGGAAGTCGTCATATCGAGCAAACGCTTCAACCACTGGGCTACACCACCCTTCTGGATTCTGTGACTGTACATTCATGGATTATATTATCTGTGTTTCTTAAGATGTTGCGGTTTTTCATTGCTTGTGTGGTATGATATACAGCCACACTCAGCAATATCCCAGCTATATGACGGCGGTCTGTATAATCGGGTCTGGACCAGACAATCCAGTGATCAAAAGCACGAGCATCTATCTACCAAATTGTGATACGATGGCATCTGTCAGCCTGGTCAGTGAGTCTGACAACCCGAACCCGTTAGTCGCCCCGTAACGACAAGCATGGGGTGCTGAAGATCAATTCTAACCCGGATGTTCACGGGTGTCGTGTGATATGAAATAACATGAACATAGAAGAAGTTACGTTTTGTCACGTAGAGGCGTGTCTGAATTCTTGGAGGTCGGACAACATCGGTGGAAGCCATGAAAATGAACATGACTCGGATTCAGGACAAATCTATGATCAGTGGGTCTTTAAGGGAAAGGGACGCAACTCTGGTCACCTTGGACCACTAAGCATGACTCACCTCCTCGCCGTAATGGAAGCTACTTTGCCTGTACGATCAGCACGCATAGCAGGTAGTTGGCGGTCGTTGAATGGCGCCATTTTTCTTGGAACAAATCAGCAATAAACCTATTACAATAATCACTTCATGATCAACCATTTCATGAAAAAAGCCGATTATGTTTTATCTAACAGAGACAACTCCCAACACTCCTCTCTACATTAATGTTTTTTTATTATTTTTTCTATTTTTTTAGTTATCTCCGAAATAGCATGCAAACCACTCTCATCGACAGGGCGGGGTCGGGCGATGCTGTTCATTAAGATGAAGAACATGAGAGAGGTTATTTAGTTTACATTTGGTTTGAGACTCGCTGTGTGTTCACGTACCTGTGATCTATAGTGTCTGGGCGGAACACTTCCGTTGCTTGCACAGTATATAATTACCTCTGTCTGCACTGTCTGCAGCTTTTCCTTTGATGCTGAGAGATCTTGAAATAGAATCCATTTCTTTTCTCAATACTAATTAAATGCATTAAGTCAGGTAGAACGTTAATTTGTTTTCGGATAAATTACACTTCGACTGACTGACTGAGTTTGGTTTTACGCCGCTTTTGGCAATATTCCAGCAACATCACGTCGGGGGGACACCAGAAATGGGCTTCACACATTGTACCCATGTGGGGATTCGAACCCGGGTCTTCGGCGTGACGAGCCAACGCTTTAACCATTAGGCTACCCCACCGCCCCAATTACACTATGAATACACAGAGCAAGTGAATTAAACCCGGCTCCGTCCACATTTATCAGATACCTCAATGTAAGGGGTACTCCTTAGTCCAGTTGAAACAATGTCTGCCCGCACAGGTGGGAGGTTCGAACCCGGGCCGAGGCATATCAACACACTTTGATAGGTGGTGCTTCTTGTTATCCTGGCTGACGCTCGGCATTTGGGTATAAATCATCGACTGGTCGGCTGGGAAAGAGCCTAATGTGTCTGAGTGGGAGAACTGCGGTATCTCAGTTGTATAAAACAGACATTAGTCCTGACTAGTACAGGCAGCCACACCCACACGTGCATGTGCGTAGCAGCTTGTGTGCAGTGCTCTGGAACGTCTCCTCACTTGGGGCAGTTGCGTAGCTTTGTGGTGAAAGTTTCGCAAATCTCACCGAAGGCCCGGGTTCGATCACAGGCCCTCGTGTCTGTGCGAGGATTAAAGATTTTTAAAAGAAAATTGAGATGCCCCCCGACTCGAAATGCTTCACAGTACAATAGAATTGGCCTTGTCATAATGTATTGTACTGTGAAGTATTTCGAGTCGGGGGGCATCTCTAAATGTTTTAATTTTTTTAAATCTTAAATTATCGCAAGGACAAGAGGGCCTGTGGGTTCGATCCAATAACTGGTGTCCCCACCCATGATATTGCTGGAATGTTCAATAGCCCAGAAATCAGAGCACCACACTGTGTATGTCCACACACCTGCCCACAGCGTTAGAACACTTCTACACGTGTAAAGATGACTGCATTACATATAATGTACAAATACAAATAGCGCACAAACATGTACGTCAACAAAATACCATCTAAAGCATGATCATGAAATGTATTGTTATGGGAAACAAACACCTGTATATACTCCATGGCATATGTCATTGTGACCTAAGAAACAATGAAATCCCATGAAAAATATTTATTGTCGTGGATGGAATGTTTTCATATGGGAAGAACAACGGCTGACTGTATGGTAACGAGGATGTGAAGAGCTCTCGTGGCACGTGCAGTCGGGTCACATTTCACAGAGTGAGTGGGTGAGTATTGCTTTACGCCGCTTTTAGCAATATTCCAGCAATATCACCAGACACCAGAAATGGGCTTCACACATTGTACCCATGTGGGGAATCGAACCCGGGTCTTCGGCGTGATGAGCGAACGTTTTATAATTAACCACTAGGCTACCCCACTGCCCCTATATCTCACAGAGACGCTCAGGGTCAAGTTCCGGGTGTCAGTAGCGGGTGTGGTCATCCGATGTAGCCATGAAGCCCTCACACATTTGTCTGAAGAATACGATCAGATTAACGTCGCACATATAAGGTAGATTGACTCTGGGGTGACCAATCTTGGACTTCTCCGTTCAATGCCGAGCAATAGCCGTGGTAACACAAAGTTTCATATTTCCATTTCCGCTCTGCGAGTTGACGTGCTACTCACAAGACAAGGGAAATCCCTTAACTTTTAAGAGAAGCTTTGGAAATGGCATCGTTTGTTTGTCGTTTAACGCCACGTTCAGCAAAATTCCAGCTATATGGTGGCAGTCTGTAAATAATCGATTCTGGTCCAGAAAATCCGGTGATGAGCATCGATCTATGCAGTTGGGATGTCATCGAACCTAACCTCCCGATACCGTTAGTCGCCTCTTACGATAAACATGGATTGCTGAATTGTAACCCGGGTCGGAAATGGCATCTAACTATAATATCTGAGCAGGTATAAAGCGGATTTCACGAGGACTTGGAGGACGTCGCAGACAGCGTTCCATTTCCTTCTGGAGCTGTTTGATGTACACCTATGCCAGATCACGTGACCCGGCAAATATCACAGCTGGACTGATTGGCAAATGTAGCAGTAGTTGTTTCAACTTTCAGTATCCTAAAAAGCAATGTATTTAGGTTTGTAAATGAAACAAAGAAAACAGTGGCACAATGACAGTTTGCTTTTGAATTTCTCTATTCTTGCCAAAGTTTTTCAAAGAATCTACATGCATACTTTCCCTGGATTTCCAAGTTGCTAATTTCGTGAGTTTATATAATATTGACATTTTTTGTAAAATATTCGGTCTGTTTGTATCAGATGATAACATGCAAACCAAGGTCTCCAAGGTGTGTTCAGTCCTCAACTATGGAATCCTTGAAGGGACATTGTCGCTATGTCGCTTTGTCGGGGTTTGAGTGAATAAAAAAATATTATTCAAAGCGCGACAATGCTACAAGTGGCCAAAATGGGGCGTTGTCGCATTGTCGCGTTTGGGTTAGTTTTGACACTTTTTGCTTGTTTTCATGGGGGCTACAACGCGACAATGTCCCTTCTAGAATTCCATACTCCACAATATTCAAGAACATGTGCTCACAACGAACTCAAAACAGGCTAATTACGCTCTTCTGTCTGAATTGCTTATTATCGTGAACAAACTGACAATCACATTGATTGATTAATTCCCATAATTCGCTGATACTAATGAAAATGTCTTAGTGCGTGGGTTAACAGCATATGTGTTTATAACAGTCACCATGGTAACCAACTTTGTAGATTAAACACTGTGCCGATAGTGGTTGAAATTCTCTGTTTTCACCCATATCTACGACGTCATTTGACAACGGCAGGCGAGGATCTTGTGATTGAAGTGTGCTTGTGTTGGTGTCGGTTTAACATCTCCAATCTATTTAAGGATATCTGAAGACTCTTTCTAAAGAAAATCATTATCTTCTGTGGTAATGACGTGTTTAAACAACAGCCGAGGTGGATTGTGTTCAACAGACGAAACGATGAACAAGCAGGTATTCAGAATGCATTACAACGGCTGTGAATAACTTAACCAAACAACCAGACTGAAATCTAGATCCTTAGATGAACACATTTTTCAGATTTCTATAATTAAATTATGTTCATAAAATAGAATAAAATAAGCCATGATGGTTTCTCTCAGAAAGCACCACAAATATATCTAGACTTGTATGGGCAATATAGGTTATATTTGTTTGCGGTGTGTATTCAGACTAGGGGACGACTATTAATAATTCTCGACTTGTATGGGCAATATTGGTTATATTTGTTTCGGGGGGGTGTATTCAGACTAGGGGGACGACTATTACTAATTCTGGACTTGTATGGGCAATATAGGTTATATTTGTTTCGGGGTGAGTATTCAGACTAGGGGACGACTATTAATAATTCTAGACTTGCATTGGTAATATAGGTTTTATATTTGTTTCGGGGTGTGTATTCAGACTAGGGGACGACTATTAATAATTCTGGACTTGCATTGACAATATAGGTTATATTTGTTTTGGGGGGTGTATTCAGACATGGGGATGACTATTAATAAGTTTGGACTTGCATTGACAATATAGGTTATATTTGTTTTGGGGGGTGTATTCAGACATGGGGACGACTATTAATAAGTTTGGACTTGCATTGGCAATATAGGTTATATTTGTTTTGGGGTGTGTATTCAGACATGGGGACGACTATTAATAAGTTTGGACTTGCATTGGCAATATAGGTTATATTTGTTTTGGGGTGTGTATTCAGACATGGGGACGACTATTAATAATTCTGGACTTGCATTGACAATATAGGTTATATTTGTTTTGAGGGGTGTATTCAGACATGGGGACGACTATTAATAAGTTTGGACTTGCATTGGCAATATAGGTTATATTTGTTTTGGGGTGTGTATTCAGACTAGGGGACGACTATTAATAATTCTGGACTTGCATTGGCAATATAGGTTACATTTGTTTTGGGGGTGTATTCAGACATGGGGACGACTAT